AATTTGGAATTAATTAGTTGATTTCATTTTTACACAGTGATTTTACTTCTCCTGTAGTAAAATGTGTTTTCAGTAATAGCAGTTAGTGACAATTGACGTGCTGACGTCACTGTAGTCTCATCTCTAGTCTCTGAAGTTTGTTACTGGTAGTGTATTGCTGCTCTGTCTGAACACAGTTAACGTTGTTTTCTTCATCACAGTGACTAATTACCTGCTGTACATTTAAACTTACGCTAGTTCTGCTCCAGCACTCAGAGCTCTCTGCTCCTTTTAGCACATAAATTCAGCAGTTGTTTACATACTACTCAGATGCTAGTTAATTTAGCTTAGTTGTTAGCGCTAGCTTCTCTCTCTCTCTTGTTCAGTGTGTCTTGAATCAGCAAATGAACTTGTTCATCAGAGTGTGGTGTTATTGTAACTTCAGTGTAAAGGATTGTAATGTTTATTTCATTTTCAGTGATCTGTGCTGTCTTACCTTCGTCACACGGTTCAGCTCGCGAACGGAGCTTTTTCTGATCTGAGACTTTTGCGTACACTAAAACCTTCGGAGTGACAGGCTATTACTCATGATTTGTAACCAATCAGATGTAGCGGTGGGCGGGACATTACTCCAGACCTGACTAAACCAAAGTAGCGCATTATAAATCGGTTGACGGTTAAATAACGATACCAATAATCGGAAACTGCTGAATATCTCTACTTTTCAGTTATTTTTTAAATTTTGGGATGAAGCGGGACGATTTGGTGGGGCAGTGGGATAATTTGGTGGGGCATTGCCCCCCATTGCACACGCCTAGAGCCGGCTGCTTTCACCTCTCATCTAACTTTTGATGAGATGAATAAGCACATTATTTTGTATATTCCTAAATTAATTTGCTTTTAATTAAATGTATACACAGTAAATCTGTGGCCAGGTAGTATTCAAGAAAAGTAAAATTTAGTACAATGCACATAGAGGGAGAAATGGGTTCATGGTTATGGTTGTTTTAGTTTTTTTGGGGTGATCTGTTGGTACCATTATATGCTTCAGTTTTCATTTTTTTATACCTAAAATAAAACAGAACAGAGCATGGTGATGCTACAGGAATACATTATGAACATAGCTGACAAAAGAAACATGAATTCAGGACAAGAAAACAACTCTACCCAAAGGCCACTCTAGACCGATCCTCTCTAAACTGTCTGATGAAGAGCAAGCATGTCGTTTGAAATGATATGTGCTTTTTCCAGAGAAGCAAAAAACAAGTTTGTCCTTCAGAGCGTACCTGATTCTTTAAAGGTGGAGAGTTCCCCACAAGTCATTTAGCCGGTGCTATACTGAAGGCGGCCCTTGTGTTTTGTAATAACGTTTTCTTTGCTGTTTTAAGACCATCGTCAGAACAAGGGGTTAATAAGTGCCAAGCAGTTCATTCTTGTTCCAGGGCCCTCTGACATGATGAATCCAGCCCTGGTAAGACTGAACAGGAGTGACAATACAGATTCATTCTGAGGCACTGACACGCAACAGTCCAACATTTCAACAGTCAGTTTAAAAGTCAGAGGAGATGACTAGAAGTTCAACAACAAAATAAATGAGTATTTCTCTCCCTGTTCAACTATGTTTGAAATGCCCTTGAGCAAGGCACTGAGCCTCAAACTGTTCTAGAAGAGCTACACACTGGTCGACAGCTCGCACTGTTGTGAACATGTAAAACTGTATGAAGACAAAGTTCAAACATTCAGCCCAAAGTGAAGCAGCGTTTCCTGGACTTGTACTTGTAACAGATGAAAACATAAAAATGCATTTGGTAATGAATGAACTGAAGAGAGTGAAGAGGTAGCTTTGGAAACAAACATTTTTCACATGTAAAAACCTGGTATATTAAATGGTTACGTTAGTGTCAGTATATTGAGCAGAGTGACTCGCTTTAGGATTGTTTTTTGAGTGTACAATATCTTGCTTTCACTCACAGTTTGCAGGTTTTCAGAACACTGGGCTTTCCATGATCAAGTGACAGGTGAAGTGAACTACATTATAGTGTAAAACCTCATTAGTGTCTGTGCACTGCTCCATGAAAGCTGATGAAAGGTCATGTAACTTTGTGATGTAAAAGGTGTAAGTGTGTGTGTCAGACTCAGACTGAGAGTCAGTCATGAGTGTGCATGGTGGTGGGTGAGACGGTGGTTGGGTTTCGCAGCGGCGTGGGGTGCGCAGAGAGGTGCTTAGACAGTCTCTGATTCCCGGTATCATCAACTTCAAACCTCCCCTGTGATACCACAGCGACACGGCGGCACTGTATTGTCCCAGGACCCTGAAACTATGCTGAGAATTAACTTAAGTTTCAGGTATTAAAGGGACTGTCTGACATTTTTATCAAAAGGATGCTCTTAAATCAATGATTTTGAATAAGAAATGGTTTTATGACATTACATTATTAATAATGAAACTAATCATAAATTTACATATTTAAACTTTAAAGATACAGTGTAGGATTTCAGAATTTGATGACTAGTCCTTTTTTTAAGTTAGAGTTCCAGAGTAATTACTCACATTATTTTAAGTTTGTTGATTTATGTTTCAAAAAGTTGCCGCAGTACCATACAAGACACCATTTGATAAGATAAGATTAAACATACAAATTTACAAGACATCTTCAAGTACCACATCAAAACCAAAATAAACCATTAAAAACCTGAAAATCATAACCTGGCAGTCTATCATAACATTATATTTCCATCATAAACGCTGTGTGCACTGTTACAGCAAATTTAAGGCTAAAAATTTCACTCAGATACAATTCCAATACATAAAAATACATAAATAAAAGAAATTTTTTTTTTTAAAAGGGAGTGAAGAAAAGACAATTTTTTGCTTTTTACAAAGTCTTAATGATCTCGTATTAAAAGCAGCAGTGGAGGAAGCATCCAGGACCTTAGTTTAGTTTAAACTAGTTTAGTTAAGTAAATATACAATACCACAATGGAAGAGTACTCTGTTACAAGCAAAAGAGCTAAAGTTCAAAATTTTTGCTTAAATAAAAGTATAGATGTATTATCAAGTGAAATGTACCTGAGTATATTTAATAAAGTATCATACTTTAGTACAAATTTGAGGTACTTGCACCTGAGTATTTCACTTTTTTCCTACTTTACATTTGTACACTTCAGAGGAAAGTATTGCACTTTTTACTCCAGCATATTTAGTGACTAGTTACTTCTTAAATTAAGATTTTACATACAAAGTATATGACGGGATACTAAAATATCATGCATTGTTATAGATTAAACAGTGTATTGTAGTTAAAATGAACTCCACCTCAACTACAGGGAAATGTATACTTACACATTTATGCATCAATAATATACCGTAGTAATATAATATATGATTTTATAATACGGACAGGTGCCATTCCGCTGCACTGAGTATTTTTACTCTTGATGCTTGAAGTACATTTTTCTAATAGAACTTTAACTTTTAACAATACATTTTCAATGCAGGACTTTTACTTGTAACAGAATATTTTTAAATTGTGGTTTTGCCACTTAAACTGATGTAGTAGGATTTGAACACTTCAACGCTAGTCAGCAAAATATACATAAATATAGATATACTGTATCAAAATTAAAAGTACGTATTATACAGAATGGTTCCTTTTAGAGTGGTATATGATATATATTATTGGATTTTTTAAAAACGGATATATTAATATGTAAGCATTATTTTAATTTTGTAACTGGTCGAGTTGGAGATAATTTGACCCACTTTCTGTACTGTTGGGATGTTTCATTAAAACTGGTGTATAATACTTCATAAGCCACTGATGTGTTTTGCCAAGTAACTAGTAACTACAGCTGCAAGATAAAGTTTGTTAGTATAGTTCCCTTGAAAATGCAGTGGAGTGCTGCACAATAAATATGAAGCATAAAAATGGAAAAACTCAAGTAAAAGTACCTCAAAACTCTGGAATGGCACCAGAGACCTCAAACTGGGTCGGTTGATGGTTAAACAAATAGTATGTTGACGTTTTTCTAAATTAACAAGTAAAATTATAAAATCAAGTCATACAAAGACTAACAGCCAATAAAGAACAAAACCACAAACTTTTGATAAAGATACTGAACCTTGATTGTTTACAGTAAGTCAACCTCTTGTCTCTTTTGCTCTCCTACTGTGCCATTGTCACTGAGCATGACAATACTTCCAATGAAACATCAATTGAAAACAATACTTCCAATGAAACATCAATTGAAAACAATACTTCCAATGAAACATCAATTGAAAACAACAAAAAACCCTCCTCTATCATTTTATCATTATGTATACAGTATGCAGGTGGTGTTCATCACTGTTTCAGTCTAAGTAGGACTATTGTAGGTGAACCTGACTCTTCATCCATTATCTACCATCTAAAGCATTTTAGACAGATAGTTATAGGAAAGATTTTAAGTATAGTATAAGTATAATGTTCCATTGAACTCAGTCCTTTTAAATTACACACATGTAAAAAGCCACTGCAGGAAATACAATAATCTCTCAAATTGCTCATTCATCTACCCGATTTTGTCAATGCTGATTAATTTTTCAGTTTTTATCTCTCACAAAAATCCTGAGACGACTATGGAACATATTGTAATAAAAGACTGCATTTGTTTGCATTTTTAGTACAGGTGCTTTTAAATATTATCAAAACTAAATACGGTTTCTCTGAGATTTGGAAATGTGACATTATATGGAGGGGGTTTATGACAGTAGTTACTTAAAGACCCATTCAGTTAAACTTGTAGGTATGTGCACTACATACATTTTAGAGTCTAGAATAATGTGTCTATAAAACCCATCTCAGGATGGTGATAAAATATAGACGTGCTTCCTCTGTCAACATCTGTGACACACTTTCACACACCTGTATGCATTGAGAATAGTGAATTTCTTATCTGGTATTATCTCCGACATAAAGAACAGGCTCAAACAAACAACTAACTCTTAAAAAATGTTGTGACAAAAACACAAATGTGCAGGAGTCGGTACAGAACTTTCCGTTTATTCATTTCCGATTCAGTTCACTTGACAGACCTGAAGCCACTTGCAACAATTTTGTTTACTAGCACTCTTAAAATACCTCAAACCGATTCACCGCACATGTTCAAAGTTAACTTGTTCTCCCGTGTGCCATTCAGTGAGAAAAAAGGGCCATGAAGAAAGTAAAACTGTCACAAAAACAGAATTTCTTAAAATCTATAATTAAAAAACCCCCCACAAGGTCTGCTAAAGAAATGCCCAAAGAATGGAATGGAATGTTTTTCACACATCTGGACAATATACAGAGCATCAACAATAAAAGATCACAAATGGACAAAAAGCTCAATTGATGAGTGCATGTCTGAGGTGGCTGCATCTTTTCCAAAGAACAAAAAAAAAAAAGAAAAGAAAACAACACAAAAATAAACTTAAAAAAAGTGTGTTATCTTTATAAAAGCCCAGGTTTTATACTGGTCAACATTCTGCAAATGTAAGGCAGATCTTCTTTAACCCAATTTATTTCTGTTCTGACTAAATAAACTGATAGAAAGTCCTATTTATTATGGTGAAGAGATAAAGCCCTGTTTCTTTTAAACATGCCATTTTATTCCTAAGGATTAGGACTGCCTTTAATTCTTCTTAACAGGGCTAGTCTGTAGGCAGCTTTCCTACAGTTTGGCACCATCTTTAGCCCATATAGGGGAACTGCAGCAGGATGGCTTGTCCAGGTTGCAGGGTGATTTTGTCCAGGCTGATTGTGGAGTCTACTGGGAAGTCTGCTGTGGAGTTTGTTTCAGCTGAGAACTTCACCTTGGCTGTCTCTGGCAACTCTACTCCCTCTGCAGGAACAAAATGGTGTTAAAAACATGAACACAATAACTAACTATAGTCAATGTGAGTTACTGCATATGACACATTACATCTGAACTAGATATTTCTGTTGAACTGAAACTTGCCTGTAGGTGCCAGTGAGATTTTGAGTGTCTCAGGTTGTTCTCCCCAGTTAACAGCCGTTATAAATCTCTCGCTCTGGTCCCACAGACGGAGGAAAGAGAGGGAGGAGGCGGAGGAGTAGAGAGGATAGTAGTCGCCGTGGAGGAGAGAGCGCTCTTTGCCTCGCAACTCGCTGAGAGATCTGAACCACTTCCTTAAAGCAGCCTGCTCCTTCCGCTCTGCCTGTAAATGTGAAAATCGAGGACATTTTTTCAAAAACACTGAAACTAAATCAGTGTTTTTCACCGTGAAAACACTGAAACTAAACCAGTGTTTTTGACCAGGCCCTCACTACTTTTCTTAAGGACTCCTTTTCCCACACAGATATTTAATGAATACAATCTTACCTCAGCAGCCTCACTAACAGCTGCTCCCTCAGCAGGTTTCTTCTCTACATCCCAAACCATCTTAGAAGAGTTTACACCCTAATAAGGAAACAAAAAGGAAAAGACAAAGGTTACACTCTGTAAGAGCTGTAAGTTGCTGAAAGATTCAAACTGATCTGGTCCGTTCTATTCTTACGTGAAGGCCAATCTCATCTCCATAGGTAAACACTGGGGTTCCAGGCATGGTGAAGAGCAGTAGGTGGTAGAGACGGATCAGGGATGGAGTTTTGGCTACTTGAGACAGCTGGACCAGTTTGGTGGCACCTAGACCCCAGCCTAGACTTCTCTGCTGAGAGTGAAGGGTGTCCATGTCCTTAATGCGCTCCACACCTGCAGATATTCAGGTAAAAGAATCATCTGTAAAACACCATTCTGCACCAACTGGTTGGTTTTCACACAAAAAAGACATTTGTTTTTCTTGATTTAGACACCAAGAATGTCACAAGGGAATACAAAGAAAAAACAGCATAGCCCCTATAACTAATGGAGGGGTGGTGTAATCATGATGGAGACGACGGCAGATGATTAAATACAAATTGAAACTTTTTTAATTGATAAGCGTAAACGTAGCTTCCTTGGAGAAGACAAGCACTTGATTCAAGTACGGCCAGACAAACAGGAAACTCAAACCAACCTCCACTATTGCTGCTGAGGAGGTCAGACAGGACGAGATCTACACCAGTGGTATTGACGAGCTGAGACACCATTTCAGCCGAAAGACCTTCAACTACACCCATCAAGACCCTGAGAAGAAGAAAACAGGGTCAGATTAGAGCAATGAAGCATGTTGGGGCAATGGTTTATATTGCGGACACCAGTTTCAGTCAGTGGAAAGTAGAACATTTTGAGTTATATCATAACTTGTTTGTATGTGTGTTTGTTTGTTTGAATGTGGAAATCTGTTTTAAAAGTGAATTGTGTCATTCCTTAAATCCTCCACAAGGTGTCTCTTTAACATGAGTGTAAGGCGCCACTGGCCTGTGGATGCCTTTCTTGTTGATCCAGCTCTCTCTAACCCCCACCCACAGTCCCCCGTAGCACTGGAATGCATTTAATCTCTAGGTTTTCTCTAGAAACACAACTGTCAGCTGACATTTTATTGAAGCATTGAAAATTTCTCTATATCTACTGGAAAATAGCTGAATATATGCAAAAGTCTCGCAAATTAAACATTGTGTGTTCTTGCATAGACTGTCTACTTATGGTGAACCAAAGGAAGTCAGAAAGTGGCAGTCATAGTTACCTCTTCTTGGTGTCCTCAGTGCGGTTGCCCTGGACAACAGCTTGCAGTTTAGACCAGTCCTGATAGCTGGAGGCAACACCAATGTCAGACACCTTGATGCCATCAACACCCAAACGCAGCCAGCGCTCTGCTGCAGCCTGGAGGAGAACATGAGCACTTTAGCTACAACAGTTCAGTGACATGGATTCAGTGAATGAAGGACCATAGACCATAGTGTGTGTGTCATACATTGAGTTTATCCATCACATCGCCAGAATCAGCAGGGGTGAACCAGGAAGCAGCTCCCGGGTAGTTTGGAGTCAGATCAAGCACCACAGAAATGCCTATGAAAAAACAGAAAACAAAAGTCTGCTTATAACACCTGGGCATGAGCAGTGCAAATCAGCATAAAAAAAGCAAACACAAAGGTCCTTCTCTGTTACTACTGACTGTGAATGAGGCCAACATTTGTGATTCATAATGATGGTCTGAGCTCTTAAACTCAAAAAACTGATCTCACATGTATGATGACCTACCCTTCTTGTGGGCCTTCTCCAGTACAGTAACCAGTTCTTTCTCGTTTCCCTGGGTTGGGTTGATTACATTAAGATCCAGTGTTTCTGGTTTGTCAGTCTGGACGGTATGAAGAGGGCCGAGAACCAGGCCTTTCACCTTCAACTGGTTCATATCATCCAACTTTGCTCCAACACCTACAGACAAATAGACACAGGGAGGGAGAATTAAATGTCATCACGTCAGTGTGAATTTCAAATTAGACAACAGAGAGCCGATGTGTGGAGGGTAGCAGGGTCAGAGGGTTATGAGGAAAGGGCAGAAGGTTAGAGGGCAAAACAGAGCGAAGTAAAGAAAAAATTAGGAAAGTTAAGGGTGAATTCTGCTGCTCTTATAGCTAGTATTGACTCTATGCAGGAGCATGTGAAAGGCTCCCTCCACACCCTCTGCTGGCCATGTGAAGTCTGAGTACAAGGAGGTCCTTTATGTGAAAAATCTGTCACGTGTGCTTTTTGGAATCCTAGCCAAGGCTTGTTGGAAATCTGAGTGCTCATGAGTAATTCACTTTGGGAACAGCAGTACAATCTGTCCTTCCTTCCTACCTTCCTTATAAAGTTAAAATCAAAATTGGAAAAATTAAGCCATATAAGTGTTACTGTCTTTTAAGTAGCATTTAATGAAAATAGAAAGCCTAAAAGAATAGTTTTATCACTTTTGAGATCTGAAACTAAGTCTAAAAGAGATCTAAAGAAAGAAAAAAATCTGCACACCACTGCAATAAATGTATTGGGTTGCCCAACCTTAACCTCAAGTCTGAGTAGGAGAGATATGAAAGAAATGACTTGTGTGTTTTTTTGTGTCCTTTAGACCTTGAGTCACTCAGTGTCAGCCTAGTCAGCAATTTGGTATCTGGCCAGCTGGAATAGGCCACATAGAACCAAGGAAACCCAAGACATTGTCACAAGATTTTTCCCATGTGAATTAGAGTGGGTTACCACATGAAGACCAGAGCACTTTGTAAATAATCTCTACATCTTATTTTAGGAATAAGGATGACACCATGAGCAAGAAAGAACATGCAAACAGCATCAATAAAGGGCATCAGCCTTAACATACGAAAGTGTAAACACTGTATATTTACCCTGAAAAAATTTGTGTTTGAAATCCTAAAATACTCTACCTTCCATTCCATCAGAGAAAGCTATGAGGTCAGAGATCTGGTACAGAGGTCCTTCATTCCACCAGTTCATCTCAGGGATGGGTTTACAGCGAGGGGCCTGCACTATGATTACAATGGCTCCAGCCAGCATGCCTACCCAGCCCAGCCAAAACAGGACAAGAAGCACCCAACGGGTCCGCACCCATCTACACAAAAAAGGATGAGTTCAGGAGGAGAAAAATGTTACCATGATCATTTATTTTATACCATATGCCATTACAAGTATATCTGTATTTAGAAAGTATTTATAGCAACTGTTGAATACTATCTCTTACCCTGGAGTACCAGCAACCTTCATCAGCTCCTCTTTGGACAAGCCGGTGAATGTAACCTCGTCCTCAGGGACCTTCAGCTTGACGCTGCCATTCTTCTCTCCACCTGCTGCCTGGCCATCGCCAGTCATGGGCTGCTTCTCTGGATCCAGTTCATTGAGCTCCACTTCCTTCATGTCGATCTCTGTGTCCTTATTCATGGTTAAATCTGACTTCTTTAGATATGGTGGTACAGAGGGGTGGATGACAGTAGGAGAGACAAAGAAGCACAGATTGTCAAGTTAATTAACCAAGTCACTTCTCCACGACAGAAAGGGTGTTGGCTCTGAACCGTGTTTCACAGGAAAACAATACGTAACACAACATGTGACAAAAAATGAGTGGAAAAAAGACAACTAAGATTCAAAATTAGTGAGGATTCCTTAACATTTTGGGTCACTTGAATTGTTAACTGTCTATCATATACCATTACCTTATAGTGAAAAAAGCTAGGATAGCTAGCTAATTACTAAAGCAGAAATGAAACGGTTGTTGCTAGTTAATGCAGAACAGTTAACAGACGATGTTAGCGTAGCTTTTCAAGTGAGCAACTGACGAAAGAGCTCAGAGAAAAACTAAACTTTTTGGAAAATAACCGTTAGCTAATTACTCTACACGTCGTAGTTATAGTATTTGTTTCTGGTCCATAAATTCAACTGGACACACGACTCTTACAAAGGTGTGTTAGTACCAGTAACGTGTTCAACAGTTGTCTGATGAAACAGCAGCTGCCAGTTACAGGACACGTTTAACTACAAACAGTATCAACGGAAACAATGTAACCTTCACAATAAGAGTGGATTGTTAGCTAATCATTAACTACCATTGCTATTCTTTTTTTCCCCCCAATTTGGCACGCTATTTACTTCTGTATTTGTTTTTATTCGGATTTACCATTGTATTTTTTCGATAAAAAAAATAATAAAATGCTAGTTGCCATACACGGGATATCGAAAATAGAGACCAACTTGTATTAAAAATAAGTGTCTACTTTAACACTGATAACTACTAAAATGCTATATTCACTGTTAGACAGCTGTTATGCATATACACCAAATGTATTTTGTTTACTTGCAGTTGCGGATCTCTGTTCTTGGCCAGCTGCTTTGCCCTGGTGGTTTGTCAAATGATGTTAATAAAAGAGAATCTTAAAACTCGAATATCAATCTCACTCGTTGGTCGAATAAGTCTCAGTTAAAAATAATAAGAAACTTTCGACCGGTTTCAAGCGGCTATAATTAATCTTTTTTAAGAGGTGATCAAATCAAGCGACCATCATCTGCGGAGCCACGAGGCACTGAAACATCGTTTTTTCCTTCCCATTCTTTGACTCAGACTTAAACACAGTTTTGTGGAAGAAAACTCGATAAAGTAAATGAAACATTACCTGTAAAAAATACAATGTATGGTCCGTCCACTTCTCTTTATTGTCTGCGGTCGTTTATCCTTAGGTCTCTTCTAATCTTCTTACAGACAGGCTCGGTCTGTATTTCTAGTTCCCCTGGTTGCTCCGCCCTCTGAGGGATGACCGAATAACCATCTCCCTCCCTCCTCTCTCCCTCCCCACAAAAGCTGAATAAACAAACAAGCAAACAGACATACATTAGACAAACTCCATGCTCCAAACTATTAGTGTTTTTTTTTTGTTTTTTTTTTTGTCAAAATCTATTCTATCATATAACCTCAATTATTGACGTTCATGTTTGTGTCCGTTTTCACACAGTGTCAGCCTGTTCAAAAGACAGAAGATGCAGAACTTCAAAGGTGTTTTACCCTGGGCTCTTGTGTTTTAATTTGAAGCTGAAGTAAAATAAAAGGAGATGGCAGTGGAAGACAGCCATCACATGTTTTAATATGGAAAGTTATTATGCTTCAAAATCCTCATGACACAGCGACAGGGGCTTTACCCTGAAAATACTTTGTTAAAATTGTTAGCAACAACTAATAAATTCAGTGTGGTTCTACAAACCTTTCCTGATGATAATGTAATCAATTTAGTTGATTGCAGATTATCTGGTCTCCCCTGAGGCCTTTAACCTTTTGATTAATGGAGACTGCCACTCTGTTCTTCACTAATCTTATTTAACCCTCACTTCCTGTCTGTTTATACAGACCTCATTTGCATAATTTTCTTTCCTCCATCAACAACTGACTAAACAGTCGCTGATCATACTCTGATATGATCATGCTCCCATTACAGTGCTAAGAAATTCAAGAAAGTAATGTAAAAATTCTGACTAAGATGAATTGGACTGAAATGCTTTTTCCACAGCACTGGATGGTTTGTATTAGCAAGGGACTGGAGTACTTGAGAGTGTGTCGATCTTGCAATGTTGAGAACACTGATAATAAATTCCTGAATCTGCCCCTTTAACCGTATGTGCCCCAAAATTAAATGGATTCTACCCTGGCCTGTGCCCCATCCCTCCACCAAGTTTGGTGCCACTCTGCTCAGTACTTTTTACGTAATCCTGCTGACAAAAAAACAAACAAGCCAACAACCAGATGGACATGGGTGAAAACACAATCTCGTTGGCGGAGGTAATTATTAAATAATTAATTAATATTGAGTAATAATGTAATCATGTGTAATATTGCCTATATTAAATTTGAGTGAACAGTTATGAGCAGCTAATCTGAAAACCAGCGTCCTCCTGTCCCTGCTTGTGCTCTGAAGCCTTCCCCAGCTGTTGTTGACCTTCCTTGAGTTACACTAAGAGCAGCATTCTGGGAAAAGCTCCCACAAAATCTTAATGTCATGTTGGTGTGTTTCAGGCCATATTTGTACAGGTCACACTATGAACAGCAGTTGATAGTTTTAGGAATTGTCACAATGAAGTGAAGGAGAATGAGAACGTTGTTTATCTCGCTATGCAACCCCAGAGTCAGTTTAATGATCCATTATTAGATCTGTATGTATATGACCTCAGATAATCATATTCGTGTGAGATGTAGTGACAGGTAACTTCAAGAGCACGCTCCACCACTTTGCCCCGGTGTGACTGTACCTGCAGGTGTGTGCTTGTCTTGTTCACTTATATGTTTTTGTTCAGCCCCTATCCTATTGCCCTGGAGCTCTTTTGGCTTTTGTCTTATATGACAAACCAAAAACCACTCAATGCCACAATTTCACAGTTTTTTTTTCATTGTTTTCAAAGCATGGCCTGGGAGCTCCTTGCTTTTATTTGATATACTGGGAATAATGCAAATGTGAAAATGCAGGTTTATTTATCATTACGATTTCACTCTCACTCCTGCTATCTTTCCACTTGTAGTGCAGACAGGTAAACACACTCAAAATGACATCTTTCTATATGTTTTCCATATTTGGGTCTACTATAAATCTTCTATAAATCTTACTTAGGAGGGGCTCCTAGGCTGCTGTGTGTCTCTTTGTGGATCTGTGACAATATAACCTGTCATAACCCTGCTGTTTTTGAACTTCTGTTATTGTGCCTGGTGTTGGAAAGTGTAGCAACCTGATGTTACTAGCAATACTTCAGACATTCAGAGCTGGTAACTGTCTTATAGTTGAGATGGTCCAGTGAGACACATTCACACTCATGCACATGCTGTCTATGTTTCTCTGTTAGATAAAGTAACACACCACACACCATCTGTTTCTGTATTTATTTCAGCCTGTTGATCACGTGTGTGTTTTGCAGCGTCAAGTTATGAAAGGGCTGCTGGCTGATGGGAGCACACTGTGCTGTTGGTCCAGAATAGATCCATAAGGGAAACAGTACAGAAAGAAAAAAACAGGGAAAGAGGAGGAGACAGATGAGTGGTTGAATCAGGAAACAGGAGTAAGGAGGAGTGGCCAAGAAATGGGGAAGTGCAAAAATAAACAGGGGGAAAGGGCAGACAAAAAGAGAGGAGGGGGCAGGGATGAGTAAACATGTTTATGAGTTGAGGGTGAAGCAAAATGTAGAACAAAATTTGTAATGCAACATGGCCAGAGGTATTAATGGAAACACATTACTGAGCTAAAGCAAAACTGTTTGTATCTTTTCCCACACGTTGTCTGAGCCCTGTTGAGTCTTCTCATCTATAACAACCTGAACCTGAAGGATAAACTTACATCCAAGCATGCGTTTCAAACTTTATGTGACACTGATTCACGTGTTTTGCAAACTGGCTGCACCATCAGCCACTACAAATGGAGAGCACAAGTTCATGGAGGACAGCGATTAAATATATCGCTCCAAGACCTATTGTAGAGCCTCTGTGCTTTGTTTATGCCTTTGGCAGGAGAAGGGGGGTGGTAGTAAATCCATGTGCAAGTCTACACACACACTCACAGAGATAGGGGGGTGGGGGCAACATTGCTGCATAGTTTTGTCTGTCTGCAATGATTACTGTACATTACATTACACTGGTGGCTCAGGGACACAGCAGTTTACAGGAGACATCAATTATTATTACAGAAAAGAGTGCTGTGTGATCAACCACAAGTACAAGTAAAAGGAAACTGGTATAAAAATGGGATTTACAGCTGATTCTGTCATTTGAATTCTTGAAGTATCTTCAAGCTTATTCCACAGAACATAAAAGCAACAACAATTAATTTAATTTTGCAAATGTATATTTTCGAAGTATAGTTCAGTATCTCCCAGTTAGGGGCTGGGGACACACACTCACACACATGATTGCACACAGGGCCTCACTATAAATCCTTGTCTGATCCCTGAATCCCTATGAGAGAGTTTATTTTGCAAGACAGCATGAGCTTGACAAAAAAAAAAAAAAAGCACAGCAGGGCAGACCTGGACCAGTTTAGACCAGTCTGGCTGAGTTCTTGTGCTTTCATCTCATTGTTTGATACAGTTCAGGCTCAACCAGTGTAGTTCAGGGAAACTCTGCTTTCATTTAATCTAAAAAAGGTATTCACAGATTCATTTATTCAGCTTTTGAACAAGCATGAACCTGTTTTCCTTTTCAAATGTCCAATCAACAGGAAACATGATACAATATTATTTTTGTGCCCTGGATACAGTGTAAAAAGATATTTAGAAAACAATTGACATAGCGTGTTGGGAGTGAAACATTTCATAAGTTGATGCAACAGACACACATTCGATAACATACAATCTTCTTCATAGGGACTTTGTCACATTGTGTAATGTTATTGCTTTATGTTCAGTTTCACTGATATGTTGTAGGTGTACATTAACTGGGTTTTATATAAGTGTAGCAGTGATATCTGAATTCAAACCCCCCCAATGCAGCTGATTGTACATCTAAATAATGTTTCTACCTCTATTCGCTCCCTTCTTCCATTTGTATTTCTGTCTGTAATTTATTTCCTCCTCTTCTTTTGTCTTTTTTTGTTTGTTCTCCTCTTTCCCATTAGATGAGACTGTATGGCCCAGTTTTCTCACACAGACAAAGAGGAGACTGTTCACCATGGAAAGCCTCCCTCTCTAACTCTGCACTGGCATGAATGGAGAGCTATATGGACAAAGCGAACACTGATTTGTTCATCACATCAGTAAAATCACCACAATATAAAGTAATACATACAAATATGTAAAAGAATTTAACACATTGAATACAAGAACTGTGTGTTGTACAAACTTCAGAAATTAAACAGAATAAAACTAAATAAATGGACTGACTTGATCACCCTTGGTTTGCAGCATGCTAAGATAAACTTCACAACTAATATTCATTGCAACTTCAAGCACAACGTTTTGTGAAAAATGTAACTATATATTTTTTTAAATCTTATAATATTTCTCTTATATTAAACACATGAACATCTCCCTCTCTCACAGTCTCTTTCTTATTCATGTGCTCTCTCCTCTCTCTACATTTTTTCACTGCCTGAACTTCGTTCCCTCCTCTCAGCCCCTTTCTCTCCTCCTATTACCACCTCTTTCTGTCATTAAGAAACAATGGCAGCACATTATATAAGAATGCTCCTTTCTGTGAGAAGAATTTCAAACAGTTCAATTCACAGTTCCAGTGCTCTTTCTCTCTCTTCTCGTCCAGGAAAGTGGAGTGCTGGGTCCACAACTCAGAGGTTGATGGATTGAAACCATCCTCTGCTATGTTGTGTGAAACATCCTCTCATTATCACAGATTGTATCCACCAATATATCCCTATAATGCCAACTATACACATCTGTGTATGAAAGTAGAACACTGTGTCCTGAACCTGTTCGACTGCTGTCTGGATGGAGGTTGTCAGTTTTTTGTCAGTGAAGTCAAACCAGGCGCACAGGTTGTCTTAGATTAAATATTTACCTCATTTGTGTCTGCTAACATTTTCCCTTCAATTTAACAAGCAATTACCAGAGAGGAAAGCAGCAGCAGTGAAGATGAACACTGACCTTTGGAGCTGCAGCCTGTTGGATATAAACTCACACTTTACCTACCTCCTGTTAAAGCAGTAGTCAAAACACCAATTTTTCTGATAATTTGGCTTTTCCCAACACCTCTGAGTCTGTGAAAAGTAAATAAATTACAGGTGAAGTAACATTAATATTGTATGGTCTTTGACCTCAAAATCATATCACAGAGGAGCTGTGAAATGAATAAGAGCTTGGAAGAGAGGTGGAGAGCTTTGTTGCACAGCTGGAACTTCCTCAGCATTACAATAATGTCTGTTGTTTCCCTCTTTCATGTATTGTCTCAAACAGGGTATGTCCAAGACTTTTATGTGCTTTTCTTATTTAACATTCTTTGCTACAGAGACACAGACAGTCTGTTCTGCCTATACAAGCAATCAGAGTATGGATTGGTTGTATCAGAAAGGTTTCATCATACAGAATTCATAAAACTGTATTTGACCAAGTCATTTATTAGTAATCCACTTATGTTATAGTCAACTGAGTATATTACAAAAGTCTTTAGCGCCCCCTGGAGTATTCAAATGTTCCTTACATTTATAAACTACTATGGCAAAGACAATAGCCTACTGCTTATTACAGATACCCTCACACGTTTTAATTTGCATTGCCATTTAATTTGACCATCATTGTCATTACTTCTCAAGTATTCTGGATGTAATGGAGGATTATATGTAATTCCTCAATACTGACACAGTGGTAACCTCCTATTTCATGATCATTTATAAGAAGTTGGAATTGTAAATTGTAATTGCAGTTGTAAAATACATATAAGAAACTATGAAATTTGTGTCGTGGTGTGATTGTAGATTGATAGCCTATACATTCAGCTTCAACTGCCCCAATTTTAACAGCATTTGAGCTTCTAAAAGACTGACCACATCCACCACAGTTTCCATCACTGTGTCTGTGACTGATATTGCTGATTGCAATATAGAACACACACAAAAGTACAACTAGATATCAGTGTTACTGATATATTCCAGCAGAAAAAAGAAAATAAACAGAAATGGGTTAGAAAGAGAGATTTTGAACAAACCTTGCTGCAAAATTCAAACGTAATTTGATTTGATTAATAAGTATTACAAGTAATTAGGTTAAAAAGTAACATATTATGAATATTAGCACAACAACAGACAACGTGTTACACAAGAAAGGATAAAAAAACAACTAATATTCCCACAAAAACGGGAGAAAAATAACTTGACGCATCTACTAAACGTAATCACGCATTCGCACACGTCACCAACCAGGAAGTGAGCAGAGAGGAGGGAAGGCAGAATCACAACAGAGGCACTACAGCCTTTGACAGCTTTGGTTTGTGCCGCTAAAACACGCTGGTTGTCTGTCGTTAAAACAACGGACATGTCACGAAAACCCAAAGAGGAATATTACCGGTTCTTTACCGTTACTGAGCCTCGCACTCACGAGAAGGGACACACGGAGTACAAAGTGACAGCAAGGGTTGGTTTACTCATTATCTCTCGTCAGCTACAACGTCAACAATAGAAACATATTTTGTCATTATTATTATTCTCATTCTCCATGCTTGTTATTTCTCTTAAGTACATGATTTGTCTCGTATGTTGTACTACAGTCTCTGGTCAGTTACATCAATCAACTTAATGACATTGTACTGTTATTGGTTTATAACACAATGAAGTCACATCAGTCCCTGTCAGAAACAACACAAAGGCTCTGCAGCTAGCTCAGACAGATGGATAAATACACAATGGGCCTTTTATTTGAGGCACAGTGAACACTCAAGTGAAACAGAGAACTTGTGATTCTGTTCGTGAGCTCCAGCTCCCCCATGACCACAGTAATGTCCCGTGGTCTAGACAGGCATGCATACAAAATCAAAGGTTATCATATCTTTGTAAACTAAGTTCAATACATTGTCACTCTCCCTTACATCTACAGACAAACATATACATGACAACTTGAATTGACTTGAGTTTAAGTACTTTTACTCTGAGCTGCCTTTCTTCCCTCTCTGTCCTGTTCCATCCATTTCAAAATACCCATTATTTCAACAGATTGTCCCTTGCTATGTATCAGTGTGACAAAAAGCTGGTCTGAGGCTTAATGTTAAACATGGAGCTACTGAAATAATCTCTCCTCTCTCCGTTTGTAGTTTGTGTCCAAGCGTCGTCCAGAAGATGTGAAAGAGGTGGTTGTGTGGAGGAGGTTCTCAGAGCTGAAGAAGCTCCACGGGGAGTTGGCCTACACACACAGGAACCTGTTCAGGAGACAGGAGGAGTTTCCACCTTTTCCCCGTGCACAAGTTTTTGGTAAAATGTTGCAAAGATTGTGATAAACTGTGGATACATCCAATTCCAACACAGTCACATAGTGCTGAGTTGTTTGGTGTGCTACAGGGGCTAGATTCATAACAGAAATCAATCACAATGAACTATGGAAGTTTTTACAGTGTCAGAGATGTTTATTCAGCTCAGTTATCATTTTGATGCTGTTGTTTGTAGCTATTTTTTCATGCAGTTATCTAGTTGAGTGTCTTTCAGTCATTTCTGGTGAGGACATACTTGCTCAGCTTGTCTGGTTTTAGCATTTTGTAAGATTCTTGTAACATTTCCCCTGGGCTTATGACATACATTTTCAGTGGTTACAGATGTACAAGTGCAAATGCAGCAACATAGTTGAGCCATACTATTTGACAGTCACTGTTTCCAGTGAGTTTTTAAGGCAACATATACAGTAGTTGCTGTCTTGATGGATATGTTGAATGCACAAAGGTAAACTACAGCCTTAAAAAATGACCAATAATTTGAACAAACACACCTGAAAATCTCCACAAACAACACACACTGTCAGTTCTACCAGTCTGGCTTCCATTTCTACTGTTTATTTCCTTTATTTTTTCATCTAACTTTCTAGTATCATCATCTGAATCGTCATTATATTGCATATTATATAGTGTATTTCTGTTGTAGGAAGGTTTGATGAGGCTGTGATAGAGGAGAGGAGGAAGGCAGCAGAAGCTATGCTTTTGTTTACTACCAGCATACCTGCACTCTACAATAGCCCACAGCTCAAGGACTTCTTCAGAGTAAGACTCACACACACACATACAGGAAGTGAAACAGAGATGTAGTGGCCATGGATATCTGCACACAAAAAACATGCAAGTTCAAAAGTTGTAATGCTATTGGACTCCTTGCTTCCTCCTGCTTTTCACATATCCCCTCTGTTTTCCTCCCTCCCTCCCTTCTCTCAGGGCGGCGAGGTCACAAGACCTCTAGATCCAACCCCTCTGTCCACAGCCGGGCCTCTGCCTCCTCCTCTCATCCCCCTCCCAAAGCGGAGGGCCTCAGACTGTGAGCCAGCAGAAGAGGAGGAGGGGAGGGAGGCTCCGACTTTACCCCAGGACCTGGGCACCAACCTGGGCTTAGAAGTAGGAGAACCTGAGGTGGCGGCTGAAGCGTACAGCGAGATGGGAGGCTCTCCGAAAGAAGAAGAAAGAGAGGAGCTTAGTGATACAGATCTGGATGACAGAGGTACACAATGGATAAAGAAAATCTTTTACTTCTATTTTTAAACCAAGTCTGTACTTTCCTCTCCTCTTTTGCTTTGTTTCATTCTTATCCTTGCTCTTACCTTTTGGTTTGTGTTTCCATCTCCAGTCCCGTCTCCTGATCCATCTGCATCCAGAAACCACCAATCGCAAGAGTCCCAGGAAGAGTTTGATTCACTGTTTTACTCTGTGACTGAAGAGCAAGTCCCATCCCCAAAGGAAGAAGGTCCACCTCCGCTGTCTGATAATGACTTGGCTGTCTTTGATCCCTGCTATAAACAAGGTGAAAATAAATATGGATGAATCATATAAAACAATACCACTGCTTTCAGCCCTCTCAAATCTCTTTCCTAATCTAATTTTTACTTCTTTTTTTTTTTTAAATACCAAGTAATTTTCATTCATATTGATGCTTCCTGGTTGGACTATAGCAATAACATACTGTGTAATTTGTTCTAAATGAATGACTTTTCCTATAGTGCTTTCACACATGCACTACAATCCTGAACTTATCTTGTCTTGACGTTACCCGGAGGAGCTGCATGTGAGACCGCAAATGTCCGAATCAGTTTAATGGGACAGTAAACGGACTTTATCGAGCCAGCTCGGACCTACAAAGTTGTCCACAGAATTCACAGCAAGCGAGTGGGCATGTTGATGAGGTTTCTGTCTGTCACGCTCTATCCAGGCGCCACCCTTCACCTAAACCACCTTCCATAGTGTAATTCCAGTAGGTGAGAACGCATCTCACATGAACAGTCTCCTGTTGAGTGCTGCATGTGTAACAATGTCCAGAGAATCACGTCCAGACATTCATATGAAATAAGTACTCTAGACCTTAACAATTGAGTTATGTGGTAAATAACAAGCCTTTAAAATGGTTAGAATTTTTTTATTATTATTAATTTTTTTTTTTCTTCAACTGTTCAAACAAGAGAACTTGCAGTCTGGACCAAATGAAACGTTGGGAAGTTGATCACTGAAACTTCTGCCATATTAAACAACACTGTTGTCTCTACACGGTCATTAAAATGTGAAGTTAAAGAGTGGTTAGACTAGCATGGGTGCCTGACTTGGTGTGCTTTTTGTGTTTGTTTGTTTTTTTTCAAACCAGATCCAGAAATAGTCATGGCAAAGTAAGCTGACCCATCCTAAGGAAAGTGGTGTTGATTCAGCTATATTGTGGTAGCATGGCCGAGCGGTCTAAGCTGCTGGGTTTAGGCTCCAATCTCTCTGGGGGTGTGAGTTCAAATCCCACTGCTGCTAAGGGGCCTCTTCAAATTCATATGTCATGCAATTTGACATGTTATACAATAGAGGTGAAACGATTCTGAAGCCGAAGCAAACGTCTACAATCTTGTGCCGCAATACCAGAAGATCCACATAATAATGATAGTTCTCTCTTTTCTATTTCAGATAGATCCACTTCCTCCAGTGACCACTCAGAATTGTTCTCACTGCCGCCAACCAGTCTAGAAGGAGGGGACGTGGCTTATCTGAACCAAGCGGCCACTGAGCTAACAGCTGCCATGGAGAGGGAGAAGGAGGGAGAATTTAGTTCTGCCATTCGTGCATACAGGACGGCAGTGGATATATTGATCACTGGAGTACAGGGTGAGAAACATGGTTTGTTGTAAAAGGGGAAAGAAAGAAGGAAAGAGGGAGGGACATGGTAAAGTATTCAGGTCAGCAGTAATACAGTAATGTGTGTTTCCAAAATACTGATCAAAGAAACACATACTAACAAAAAAGAAAAAGCTAAATTGAATGATGAATAAAAAGTGTACTGTTTTGCACACTACAAAATTGAGTTGAAACAACACTGCAACACTTTCTGTGTTGTCTCTTTTTTTTCTGGTTATTAACAATCTCGCATGTGAGTCCAGCACACCCAGTCCATTTGATATAGCATTTTATCTGAATGCATTTCTGCTTGAATTATGAGCACAAATTATATTGTGCATTTAAGTTGAAAGGTGTAATACCCTACTGACCATATTCCCTCTGTGCTGCATATTCTGATGTGCTATGCATTGTACACAGCTGATAAACAAATAAAGGCAAATGGGCAGAGCAAAGACACCAGGCACCAAAGCAATTGTGGCATGTCAGCATGTGACCTCATAGTAAAATCAACATTGCTGTTTTGTTCAAGTATTTACCGTCCTGCTTTAGCGAGGGTAAACTGCGTGTTGCTCTGCAGTAAATATGTTGTGTCACTAATGGATGAGTTATTAGGTTAGTGTGCTCTCATGTCTCGTTATGATCTGTGTAAAGATAGTAAGGCCAAGCGGTCTGAGGCGCTGGGTTCTTTCTTTAGATTCTCTTCCAAAATGCTTCATCCTGAAGTGAACTGGACAGCCACCATGTGAGGGAAATCAGTATGAAAGTATGAAAGAACGAATTCTTGAGAGAACGTTTGAATGCCATGAGGTAGCGTGGCCGAGCGGTCTAAGGCGCTGGATTAAGGCTCCAGTCTCTTCGGGGGCGTGGGTTCGAATCCCACCGCTGCCAGATCTTTCTTAATGGTGTTTTAACAATTGCACTTAGGTTTTGATAAATGATTATCTCTGATCAGAAAATTAAGATGATAAATAAACACATGGAAATATAACATTAGTACCTAGCCTGCCTCTTAACTCTGTGCCTTATTTCAAAATCACAGTTTGTTTGGAGTGGCCCTCCAAAATCAAAGCTTCAGGTAGTGAGAAAACATTTCACCTATGAAATGGGATGCTGCTTGTGACTTTTACACATTGCCACAAGCTGACAGCAGAATGGAAACCACATATGAAACTGACAATGAGGCTTTTATGGTATACTATTGATCTACCCTTCCCCAGCTGTTAGACTGATCAGATTTACTGTCAAAGGGGTCAAAGTTGACCCACCCTCCACCACGAGTTGTCTGAGGTTGATATCATCTATTCATGTGGTAGCGTGGCCGAGCGGTCTAAGGCGCTGGATTAAGGCTCCAGTCTCTTCGGGGGCGTGGGTTCGAATCCCACCGCTGCCAGGAAAACTTTTCAGTTTACATTTGCTTTCTGAAAAATTCAAATTGAAAATTAATTGATAGTTAAACGAGCTCAGTATAGTCTGAAAGGTGTGCTGTTTGCTCTCAAATCAGTGATTCCAGCCAGCATGCTTACTACCACTATCACCTAATCCTTAAAATTAAAAATCTAAAATCTTAAATTTTGAATAAAAAAAAAAAGTCTTTTAGCATTAGGATTAGGAAAGCTTTTGACATGATCTTTGCTTTTTTTTTCTTTTTCTACCCTACCTTTACCTCTCTACACCAGTGCTGTTACTGGACAATAATAATGGAAATAATAATCTTTGTTCTTCTTTCTGTGTGTGTGTCTGTCTGTCCAGGAGACCCAGATCCAGTACGCAAAGAGTCAGTGATGAGAAGGACCGCCCAGTATCTGAAACACGCTGAGATGTTGGTGGACAGGCACTCCTCACCCACACACACTCACACATCTACAAACACACATGCACAGGACCCATAGATGCACACAGATGTATTTGTATACACTGTTCCTACAAATGAAGACAGATCAAAGACTAAGCTCAGGGTTGTGACATACATACGCAAACATACATGTCACACACATGCAGCCACACCCACACACATACTCCTTCTGTCTTGAGGAAGATTCTCATAGACATACATGAGAAGTGAGAAGTGATGGTCATTTAGACCAAAACATTCACAAATATCACATCTATCAGGTGCAAAAGCACAGAACACACTCACACGCACATACGTGAACACACACTCCTGAGGTACACACTACAGTGCAGACTGTTTCTTTAGCTGCCTTTGTTTAGTAAAAAATCAGTGATTTACAGAAGCTAAGTATCTGGAAAGTGAAAGTAACTGTAAATTTAACTGGATTAATGGATAAACAATCCTTCATCTCTCTCTTTCTCTTTCTCTTGTTTAATTATTACCTTCCTTTTACAATCTTCTCTCGTTGAATACAGTAATGTGTCTGTATATTACGTAATTTGCATTTTGCACAATAAATGTTTTGTTAATAAATATGATTTTAATTTAAGTCAATAACACATCTGTTTTCTTGGGTAAAGTTAGAAAGAGCAGTTGGTTCAACAGTTTTTGGTAAAACTATTACATGACATAATCAGATGGTCAAAATAACTGTCAACAGGCCAGGATATTTTTGGATGTCTAACCCAGTCAGTTGTCAGCCTATAGTCTGAATCACTCACCATCTAAAATGCACATAATTTGTTTTGCTGTGGAATTATAATATTGTACCAACCCAGAATTGCTGATATATTTCTGTTTACAAGGGGCAAGAAACTACCAATCTGAGGTGTTTAGCAGTGCTTCTCAGCCGTAACAACGATTGATTTTAAACTATTCAGCATAACAATTTATTGTTTGTTTTGTAGTCAGCGGTATTTTCAATTATTTGTATATCATTTCAGAGTTTTCTTCCATGCTGTGTTACTGTCCTTAAATATACAATGGCTGCTCAACTGAATCCAGTGGTTGTTGAAGGTTTTGTAGGTTTGCATGTTTGCAGTAGCACATCATTACCTCTGAGGGGCACTGTTGGCTATTAGATCATGACAATTACACCTCTAGTGCAGAAACTCCTAATCCTCAGTTTGAACACTTACAAATCTGCAAAATCTCATATTAGTTTTCCTCATCTGAGCAATTTTGTCTATAAAGCCGCAGTTTAGTTCAGTAGTTACTAAAATAACCTTTTGGACTATTGAGGAAACTAGAACCTACACTGCACAGGATGAACTCTTCTAATTCTGCTTTTTCTTGTGTTAAATATACTGAATGTACAAAAAAATCCCCAGGGAAGGTATATATACGTATTACTCATAACTAATTTTGTTAGAGCAAAATAGCATCAAACATCACCATCAGGCCGCTGCTAACTTGTCATACTGATGGTAGTTATAGGTGTATATTATTTATGTCTATCATCCATTTGTATGTATGGCAGTATATGCTTGTGCTGCTTTACTTCCCCCAATTCCCTGCTGCAAACTATGTTTCCTGTGTCCATCTTTTGACATTGTACCTGGTTAAAGAACAGTTATAAGATGCATTAGAGCACTAATAGACTGATAACGTATGTGAGTACAGTATTTTTCCCAGTGATAGGCCATATTGTGCTAATAAACACATATTTCATCTTATTAACTATTCACCCCAGGAGAGAGAAGATAATTCATTCTTTTGCTGGAGCTTCAACGCACTGGCTTTGGATAACCTCATTTTTTAAGGTTAAAGTTTTGGTATTTTCGACGACACAAAAAAGGAGAAGGGTTGGGCGAATGGGATGCAAAAGAGAGGGAAAAGAGGAAAGAGATCAGTACCATACAGCAGAATCCCTTCTCTAGAGAGGAGAGAGGGATGGAGGCAGGACTGGAAGGACAAACAGATGGAGAGGCGACAAAAAAGAGAGGCCGGTGAGAGGAAAAGGCTACCCTTTCTCTCACCAGATGAGAACAAGAGGGGTTGCGGGGAATGAGAGATAACAGAGGGGATGGAGGAGAGGAAAAAAGGAGGGATGTGATTAGAGGATAAGCAGAGATCATCCCTCCATTGTTAAAGGGATGGAAAATACTGACCCTCCCTCTTCCTCTATTTTCATCCCCTCGTACCTCTTTTTTTTTTACATGCTTTGTTTTGAGCATTGTGGGGAGCTTGAAGAGGATGGAGGGATGGCAGAGAAAGCGAGAGATAACATTGCTCCATCCTGTTATATATCCCTCTTTTCCTCTCATCTTTCCACCTCTCTCTCCTTTCTATCCATCTCTCTTTCTAGTGCTGCACCTGTGAAATGCAGAGGATGTGAGATAGAGAAGAAGATGGAGAGACAAAGAGATGAAGGGAGGGAGGGAGAGAGGGATGAAACCGGGGGGGGGGTAGAGCCTCACAACATTAGCATGCTGAGAGTGTCAGCACTCTCCTCTTTTTCTCTCCCTCCATCCCCATCCCTCTTTCCATCCCTCCCTCTGTCTCTTTCTCCTCACTGGTCACTGCAATTATACCATCAAAACACTCCAGCCTGAGAGCATAATAGCTTCCCCCTGTGTGTGTGTGTGTGTGTGTGTGTGTGTGTGTGTGTGTGTGTGTGTGTGTGTGTGTGTATCAGAGAGCAAGCATGTGTGTGTTATCATGAGAGATCAAAAGAAAGAGATGTGTGTGTATATTTGTGCATAATTTAGTGCCATACATGGTGCATTACGTGTGTATGTATGACATGAAGGGCAGCTGTTGGTGTGAGCGTCGACGCCAAAGCTGGATTCACCGCGTGTGTGGGTGCACATGAGTGTGTGTGTGTGTGTGTGTGTGTGTGTAAGTAAGTATCTTTTGAGTCCTACCAGCTAGAAAAACTGCTTCTCCAACCTCTGACCAAACACACTCTTAAACGCATGCTAAGAGTCCCACTTTACACGTGTGTGTGTGTGTGTGTGTGTGTGTGTGTGTGTGTGTGTGTAGTGAGTTTCTATTTACACACACATACGCTCACACACACTAATGGATGCATGCAGGCATACAGTCATGGCTTTGAGACACAAACCGTTATGACCTACATGCCCAGTGGGTCATCATTAAGCCAAATAGCACACTCTGACACCTTTGGCTGTCCACACACACACACACACACACACACACACACACACACACACACTGTTTTTGTTTTTGTTCGCTCAACTTCCTTTATCCCTCTCCCCTTCCGCCCTATGTCTCTTTCTTTTTTCCTCTCATTCTATAACACACACACACACACACACACACACACACAATCCCCCCTCTATGAGCTTGTTATCCCTCTCTGTCCGTTTGTTTCTCTCTGTCACCTTGCCCTCAGCTATTTGAGTATACTTCTGTCGCTCTCTCACACTCCCATCTCTCTCTCACACACAAACACACTCATTCTCTTTCTATCTGTCTCACTCCCATGCTCTGCTCCAACCTGCTTCTCTCTCTGTTTCTGCCTGCCTTGACATATGTTATCTGCCTCTCAGTGTCTGTTTCACTTCAGCTCAGTTCCTGATTGTTATGTGAGAAGTATTGTCAGTGGCATTTTTAATACAACTGAATACAAATAATGAAATCCACACTTAGTATAGTGTGAAAATCATTTAGTGTGAGTCAGTGCAAAAGACTCAAATGAAGAAAACCTAAAGGACAACTCAGCCATTTTTAGACATAAAGTTCAGTTTATGACTGACAGGAAGAGGTCTACTACATAGTCTGTGAAAACAGATGTGGACTATTCTTTCATGACTCTTGAGAAGGTATGGAAAAATAATCCTTCTGATGTCAGAGCTTAACCTATACAAGGGACCTAAAATAAGAATATCTAGAATATATATTTTTTTCTGTCTCTTGTGAGTTCCCAAGTTTATGGAGGTGCAGTACGGAACTATACTAAACTAACTTCTTGGTATTTTGCTCCACATTGTTTGCAAGAGGAAGACAGAACAATGCATTTTATGTATAGTTCATCAGGCCTTGCTGTCAGTTAGGAGAACAAATGAAAACAGTTGTGATACAGGGAAGGTGATCTGAAGCTCCACAAATATTATTGTGTAATGAAACATTTTTTGTACATTTTGTACATTATACACATAATTGGGTTATTTAAAACTATACACAGAAACCTAATCTAGGGACTTAATAATGCAATTCAGGATGAATCTAAATGAAGGGAAAACCAAAACAATGAGCTAAAAGAGGATAAAATGTTCTATAGAGCTTAGGGAAACCTAATTCTCTGTAGGTTCGTCACTATGAGCAACCCCTGTCACATTATGCATAGTCATCTGAGCCATAGTTAATATAAAAATATTGATTAATGCAGGTTTATCTAGGTCTTTATGCCGCACATACGCCCTCACTTCACATTGTTGTGTTGTTTCCTCTTTATTATTGCTGTCTGTGGATATGTCAGGATTGCCTTCTCTTTACTCAACTCTTCCTGTCTGCATTGCCCTCCCTCTCTCTGCTCCTTTGTATATTCCCTGCTTTTTCTATCCTCCCTTTCCCCCCTCTCACTCTGTCGATCTTTCTCCCCTCTCACTCTCTCCATGTAAGTAAATCAATGAACATACACTTTATGCCATTTATTGATCCTTTCATATCTATCTGTCCTCAACCCCCCTGTTCTTGCCCTCTCTATTTCTCGCCGTTTTTCACTCCACTCTTTCCCCCCATCCTTTTTCTCACCCCTTTGTGCCTTTGAATTTATAATCTCTTTTCCCTCTTTTTCTTTCTGTCACTCCCTTTCTTTTTCTATCTCTCGCTCTGGGATGTCCTATTTATATGGTTGGCACCTTCATGCTTCTACTGAAGTGTGCCTATGTGCGTGTATGAGAGAGAGAGGGAGAGAGAGAGAGAGTGTGTTTGATGTTGGTCTAAGTGGTTAACATAATATGAGCCCTTGGAGAGATGACGTTCCCGCACTCACTCACACACACAGACACACACACTTGCACACAATTTCAGGCTTTTTGGTAGGCTTTTCTGTGAACAATTTGTGCTTTTTAGTATTCTCCAGCTTGTGCTGCAGATCCATGTATTATCTATCAATTGCATTCTCCCACTCTGCCACTCTGTCCAAATACACACTCTCTCACACACACACACACCTTTGTGGCTCGACTGTCTTCCTAGAATGACAAAAACCTGGTATTATCTTTTGTTATTTATTATTGCAGATGGAGCCATCATTTCATGACCTTGCCGTCTCTTGCCCTCCTCCCGCTGCATGTTTTTATTTATTCAGACCTCACTCACTTTCTCTTTCCTGCCCTCTCCTCCTCTCTGCATGTTTATGTTTATTCAGACACATCTCCCTCTTTTTCTCTCCCCCCTTTCTCTCCCTCTGTACCCGTGTGTCCAGCTTTTGTTACCAGCCTCGTTTCCATAACAACTGCGACCTTTCAGTCAGTGCCTAACCATTTTTAATCAGGAGTAGAGAAAGACTGAGATGTGATGAGACAGACAGAGAGAGGGAGTAAAATTGGAGGTTACTCAGGTGATGCGTCGGATTGGTGAAAAAAACAAATGATCCTCAAAAAGAGATAAGAAGAGAGAGAGCAACAGAATAAACTGAGGAATGAAAACTGGCCCTGCTCTTATCATAAAACCTTGTTAACAGCTTCCAAGCAGGTTTACATGGGCAACATTCCCAGCAACAGGTAACAAAGGGCTGCTCAAGGTCAAGCATCTTCTCAAATGTTTTCCTGGAAACAGGATGTTTCGGTTTAATCATGGGTTTTAATGAGACTTCACTAAAAACATTATGGTGCAGCTGAAAGGCCACAACAAACAGGGTAGTTTTCCTGCATTTATTCAAAATATCGTCCATTTCCTCTCAAATTGTACTCTGCTGTAGATTGCTGTTTCATACTGCAATCATCAAGAGGGTTACTCCACCACCCTGGTTATATTTCAATACTATAGAATCCTTAAATATCCCTAAATACTACAGACATTTTCAGGACTGTGTGTTAAAGTCATTAAAAGCTATGATTAAATTTGATGGCAGATCATTTAAACATCTTATACCAAAATATTTGATTTAAATGTGACACGTTACCTTAAGATCAATATCAATATATTATGTTAAAAAATGCATTTTCTTTTGCAGAAATGTTAACAAACTGTACAAAACTGTAATTGTCTCTTTCCATGCTCAGTTTCTGTGCTGTGTCTCAAAGGAAATGCCTTTGGTAAGATAAAACTGTTAATGAATTACCACCTGACTTTCAATGGTTAATATGGGTTTTACAGGATCTGAGAATATGCTGCTAAAACTCTGCGACTCCACTATTGTAATGTAGTTTCATCAGTTTAGAGTCTGCTTGGCCTTGAGAAATGCCCCTATAAGTCTTGGTCAGGGTAGACTGTCCACATATCATGTCTGTCTATATACCTGTGGGTGTGTCTGTGGCGAACAAGTAGCCTAGCAATCTGCAACAAACTGTTGCTATCCTGAATTATCAAAAGAGGTAATTGCTTTAATTTGAAATCAGTTAGCATTACTTCACACTGTTTAAACCAGCATCTTTTATGTGTGTGTGTGTGTGTGTGTGTGTGTGTGTGTGTGTGTGTGTGTGCGTGCGCGCACATACTTTGGGTCATGCCAACATGGGAGGGACCGGACCGTCAAGTGGACAGCTCTCGAGTCCGCCCGCCCGCCCACCGCGCGCCACTCTACACCGGGAGCAGCGCGTGAGGATGATGCCAACCAAAGATAGACGGATTGGCGAGGGAGTCAAAAAACCTGCACAGTGACACAACTAAAGAAAAGAGGAGGCAGTTGAAGGTGAGAGTGAAACTGAGAGAGTTACGGAACAAAGAACAAATAAAAAGGGAGAGGGAAAAGGGAAATAGCCGGAAACCCGCTGCTGGCTGGTTCCTCTTTGCCCGCACTGATGTCCGAGGCCCGTCCGGTGCCAGCTGAAGACAGTCGACCGAGGCAGAGCGCACAGGAGCGGCCACTGGAGTGGGAGGCTTCGGGGAGCGGACACCGCTGGAGCTCTTGCCTGTGACTGAGTGAGTTCATTTTTTAAAAACTTCAAACACAACGTAATTTTTAAAATATGACACGTTTGATAAACCGCGAGGGTCCGTGTCTGCTATTTCTCCGTGTGTTTATTTTTTCTTTCATACTGCGACATTAGTCCACCGCTGCCAATTAGTCACAGGACGCAACACGGGCGCGCGCGCACACACAAACTGACAGCTCGTGCGTGAGAATGGTCAAAGCGAATTCCTCTCGCGTGGCAGAACCGGCAGATGCTGCCACGCGGAGGCTTCAAACATATATATTATTCAAAGTAACATTATTTACTTCAGCATGGATGGATTGAAGGATAGATAGATAGATAGAAAGATAGATGTATAGATAGATGAACAATAGCCTATAATCAAAATCATTTACAACAAAGTTATAGAAATGCCCTGTAGATATTATACACCCAGACAAACAAATGTAACAGATCAAACTCCTTATGAAATTTATTTGCAATATTGTATATTTTAGGAACACATACACACACACACACACACACACACACAGTCTACTTCCATTACTGACAGGTTGATTTTTATTTATTTATGTGGTACAGTTTTGCCACAAAAATATATTTTTTTAATAAATGCATGCAAATAGACCTGCAAGCCCAATATTTGAGATTAGATGAGTAACCTGTTGGTCTATGTGATTTTTTTCCTTTTGCCTATGTTGCTAGCATGTGCTAACAACACATGAACCCCAGATTAATATTTACAAATATAATTTACTGACATACATCATTTAATACCAGTAAATTGTGTGTGTTTAATTCAGTGTGCGTTCCCTTTCCTGTCAGTCTTCCCAGTGACAGCCTCATCTGTCCAACAGCAGCATTCTTAAGTCTAATCTAGTGGTTAATAGCTTTCATTTTCATTGCTCAGTGTTTGTATTTTGTGCAGCTTTCCACTGGCTTTGAAAAGCTAATCTGTCCCTGATATAAGCGCATTGGCTGGCTTGCCATCTGGGTTGTATTATAGTAGAGAGGAGAGGGCATTTGAATAATTGATATTTAGCTATTTATAGGAGGATTATTCTCTTCATGTTGCACCATGGGACCTATGCACTGGTCTATCTATCTATCTATCTATCTATCTATCTATCTATCTATCTATCTATCTATCTATCTATCTATCCAACTATCTATCTATCTATCTATCTATCTATTCATCTTATAAATTTTAATGGCCACCAGTGATAAGCAAGTATCTCAATTGGCCTGAAATTTTAAATAGTTTTTGTGTTTGTGTGTGTTCACATTTTCTGTATTTTTGTCTACCTACCATACCTCTCTCAGTCTATCCTTACATCTGTCCATTTATCATCCGTTCCATCTTTCTGGTGGGTGAGTGGTAGTGTATCCATCTGAAGTGGATTAGGGGTGTTATCAAAGCTAAGTAGGACTACTGTTAACACACACACTCTCGTATATGCACAAACACACAGACAGATACATACATGCTGCTCTCACTCCATTTCCCTCCCCAAGGACCATTGACCATTGTTAGCCCACTCTCAAGCCTCTTTTGCTTTTGTGTGAATGTCTATGTGTGGTGTGCGGGAGTGTGTGTTTGATGGTAAACACTCTGATCAAACAGTGCTTAACAAGCTGCCTGAACTGATAACAGAGAGAGGAGAGGAAAGAGAGGATGAGAGAGGGATAGAGAGGAAGGAAAAGGGGAAAGGGGTGTCCAGAGGGAAAGGAGGTTACATACTGACAAAAAGGGAATGGGGATGTCTGTTTTTGATCTTGATTAAATAGTGAGATGTACTGTTATTCATAAGCTTAGTGTTCACTGTTCTCCATTTTACAAGCTTTTCCAGGTATTGTAGGGAAGCGATGAAGAATTATATACCGTCAGTGTTTTAAGGACCTGAATATTCCAGTAAAATCTAAAGAAAACAATGTTGTAGCAAAACTGTTCTGTGATTTTTACCTCTCTTTTCTGCTCAGTGCCAAGATCCACATTACCTCCCTTAGTTACCTCCCTCCATTTTGTTACATGTATTTTCATGACGATGGTGCTTTCTTAGACGGTCACACTGTTGAGAGAAACAGGAAAGATAGCGTAAAGAGAGGAGGTTGATATGTGACAAAGATCATGAGCCAGATGTTAACCTACTGCACCACCAGCACATAGCCTGTTCCCCAGTCTGTTGACCTGCATTGACACGCTCTTTGTTGAGTTGCAGCACGCTGTTTCTTCCTATTACACGTTTGAAGGCCATGGAGGAGAATATCAACCCTCTGAACAACTGTTAGGACCGCAGAGGAATTCATGTTTCTTGGCTTAACTTACACTCTCACAATATATGCTTATATTTTTCAGCTCTATGCCAGGACATTTCAGCTCATTCTAATTACTATTAAAGTGAAAGTGGGTGCGACCTTTGACAGAACAGTGACCTGTTTTGCTGTCCAGGTAAGTTGAAGTCATGTGCCTGTTATATTAATACAGAATCATTATATGGCATCATTTATATTTCACAGCACCAAAAATGACATTGAAAAAAATCAAAAGCAGCATCTCTCAGATTCCTGTTTTGCTAGATAATCCACAGAACACACTATCAACAGTTTTAATAAGAACTAATTCTTTTGTGTGGAGTGATTCTGTTGAAAACTGTTCACAGCAAGATCTCTGGGTTATCCAGAGTAACAGGAGCAATGTTTTGTTGCTATTGCTAATGCCAATGTTGCCATTGCTTTTTTAAAATAATAATAATGGGCTACAAATGACCACAAATTAAATTCCATTCATCTCATAGACATGTGTCTAAATAAGTAAAAATCTCCAAATAAAACCAAACTATCTGCACGGCTAGAATGACCTAGAAATATAAATTAGAAAATATACTTATTATTTTTAATTTGGGTGAACTTACCCTTGAAGTGTCCTTGTGCCTCTCTCCTCAGTGATGGATTCACCCACAGATCTTTTCAGCGACTCTTCACCCCAGATACATACATTTGCACCCACTCTCAGCTCAACAGATCTCCCTGGAGTTCATCCCCAGCCCAGTGCAGGTCGCCCTCCTCCTGCCTTTAGGCCTCCTGGCTTTCCCCTCATTCATCACCTCCTCCAGCCAGGCGGAGCATCCAGGAGGATTGGAGGGCAACTCAACTCAAACATGAGCACACACAGGCACCTGGAAGATAGAAATTTGGAGGAAGATGGAGGAGAAAGGGATGAACAGGTGGAGCAAGGGATGGAAAGAGGAGAAGAGGGAGTCCTGGAGGGAGAGGACAGCTTGTTGGAGGTTAAGAAGAGGCACAGTGATGCTGCTCTCGCAGCAGAGTGGAGTCAAGATGTCTTAAAAGTTAAGAGGATGAAGCTGGAGAGCCGACAGAGGGATGTAGAGGCCGATGGAGAGGCCGACGAGGGAGGTAGGAGGCGCGGGGGTGGGAGAGAAGGAAAGAGACGAGAGAGGGAAGAGCTGAAAGAGCAGCTGGAGGAGGCAAGAGAGAGATTGCAGGCCCTGCAGGAGAAAGTATGGAGGGCTTTTGGGGAAAAGCACATGGCAGAGGAGGAGAAGAAAAGGAGACGCAGAAATGGAAACAGAGGAGCAACAGATGGGAGAGACGGAGATGTAGGGATGATGGAGGAGGAGGACATTACAGAAGGGATGTATGATGAAGAAGATATTGATGGTGGCGAGATGGAGAAGGAATCTTTTTCCCTTCTTTCTGCTTCCCCTTTTGACAACTTCCACACCCACAAGCGGAGAGAAGAGAGGCAAAAAGAGAGAGAAGGGAGGATGGAGAGAGGAAGAGGCGGAGGATTGCACTTGGAGGGCATGATGGAGGGAGCAGGGTTGTGGTTGGATTGTGGAGGACTGGTAAGAGGTGACTGGGATGGAGGGATAGAAGATGAGGGTGAGGAAGGAGGGCAAAAGTTTGCTCAGGCACTGAAGCTGGAGCTGGGCAGCGCTGTGGCCCGGGTCATCGACCGAGTTCTTCGCCTCTACACCGAAACAACAGATTTCACTCCTTCCTCTCCTCCTGCCGCCATTTCCTTTCTCCCATCTGATGTAGGAAATGATGGAGGCAGGGACAGGGGAGTGTGGATGGGACTATTAACAAGAGGAAGAGGGGAGGAAAAGGCAAGGGGTAAGGAGGAAAAGATGGGGGGGCAGGATGGAGAAAGAGAGAAGCAGCTCCAGAAGATGAGCAATGGGAGCATCGGGCCTCCAGGACAGTCACATCGCACTGAGCCATCAGATCTTACGATGCCTTTGGCTGTTCAAAGGTCACCTGACATTAGAAAGGCCCACCCACTCCTTGGCCCACCTCTCTCTACCCACCTAAATTCCTCTCACCCAAACCTCTCCTTGCATCACCCCTCTCTACCTCGCCCTCCTCCTCTTTCTCACCCTCCCCTCTTACCCCCAGCCTCACAACCCAAAGACCCCTCCTCCTCCTCCTTCCATCCATCTTCATCCTCCTCTTCTTCTTCCTCTTCTTCCTTCCCTGCGCCTCCCCCTCCTCCTCCTCCTCCCCCACTACCACTCCCGCTGCTGCACTACTCCATGCAGCAGCTCTTCTCTCGCTCTCTTCACCACCCCCAGCTGCCCCACCTGCCCCCGTCCCGCAAAGACTATTTGAACTCCGATCCTTTCTTGGAGTTCTCATCTCACCCGTCCTTCCCCCCGATCCCCTTGCTCGGGCACCTGGACCCCTCCCTTGCTCGTCATACTCACGGAGGCAGAGAGAGGGAGAGGGGGATGAGAGGAGATGGTGGGATGAGAGGAGGAGGAGGGATGGATGGAGGAGAGCTCTACTTGACAGCTGGGGGAATATCCTTTTGTCTTTAAGGTGGGAGGAATGAGGGGGAGAGGTGTGTGTGTTTATGTGTGTGTTTAAAGAAACGTGTATCTCCTTGACTGGCCTCATGTATACACCCAGGAGGGCTTGTCTCCCTGTCATCTGAAGAAAGCCAAACTAATGTTCTTCTACACACGCTATCCCAGCTCCAACACACTCAAGACGTACTTCCCTGATGTCAAGGTGTGTGTAGCCTGTCGCCATCATGGATCAATATTCAAACATTTCATACAAAGCCATATTTTACCTTTTACTATTACAAAAGGCTATTCATGCATATCCAGTAAGGGGAGGTCTATGGCTTGGCCCTTTTTTGATAGAGCTTGATTTATTCTTTTTCAACAATAATGATATGATTTTGATATAAATGCCAGTATTCATGCTTTTACATGAATTACATAAAGTAACCCTCACTGTATACTATAACACATTTTGTAAATCAACTAAAAAACTTACTGGTTTAAAAAAAAGAAAAATATATGTATTTAGTGTCCATAACCAAAGCAAGTACATTTTGCTAATACATCACATTAACATGGCTAACCAGCCATTTAGTCTGTTATAATACACTTTGATATTTTATTTTCTTAGATGGACAATCCCTCCATAACCATTACTCTCAATAAGCAATAGACTGGAAGTGGATACCGTATTCCAGTCACTGCTTGAATAGAAAATATACTGAAGGAGGATATTTTACATTTGAACAGTAAACTCTTCTGTCTGTAAATATGATAATTCAGTAAACCTTACTGGTAATAAAATTATTATAAATAATAACAATCGGTGAAATTCTAGCAACAAAATACACCAATCACAAGCCAAAGTGGCATTCTCATCAACAGAAAACAACTGCTGCTATATTATTGTGAAGGTTTTTTTAAAAAGCAAAACTTTCCTTTATGAAATGTTTCTCTCACTAGCAAAAATTATATTTGAATTTAAATCAGTATGTTATTGTAAATGCTAAATTCATTTGTCTAACACGCACCACCCCTCTCATGCAGTCCTTATCTGCTCACTTCTTCTCCTGCTGTTTTCCTATTCTCTGTCTAGTTTAACCGCTGTGTGACCTCCCAGATGATTAAATGGTTCAGTAACTTCAGAGAGTTCTTCTACATCCAGATGGAGCGCTTTGCACGACAGGCTGTCCGTGAGGCTCTCACTCGGTCTGTTTGGGTTGGCACTGGTTTTTGTTAAACTCATTTGCTGCAAAATTTCCATTGTTTGACTGGGTTTTGTATAGCTAACATGTTGGTACTGAATTTTTACATTGACAATCTTCAGTCTGATTTATGCATCAGATAATGTGCATATGTTGCGCTGCATCTTTGGTCATGAAAGAAAGAATTACAAATTGCAGAATAATTACAAAATTCTGAAGTTTCATGCTCCAGGTTCTCTTGTTTTATGCAACAGTGTGTGAAGCATCATCATGGTTTACTCCCTGACAGTCAGGTAGATCTGCTATAATCAAACAAGCAACTTCCAACTTGAAACAGTTCATGTTCTCCATTTTCCTCTGATGTAGTTTTCATATTCCCTTTATTTTTTAATAGTAGAGGTAGTGATAGTTGTGATTAATTAAATTATCAATCAATCAATCATTTCTGATTTAAGTTAATATGTACATTTACAGAAATTATATATCTCTTCATAGTTATTTGACCTATTTAATACTAGCACTAGTGCTTCTTCTACTATTAAAGACTTACGTACTGTATTAGATTTAAAACATAAATGTGTATGTATGTATGTCTTATTATTTCAACCCATGGGGCCAAAAACTGTCACAGTAGATGCATTGTCCATTAGTATTGATTATAATTTATACAAATAAATGCTATTAACAACATGCATTTTGTAACATCATAATTGAAATTAGTGGGTTTGTCTAACTTTGTGTCCCAGGGATGGTGCACCTCGTCTGGGTAGAGAGAGTCAGCTGCGAGTGGGCCGTGATACAGAACTGTATCGTATACTGAACATGCACTACAATAAAAGTAACGTCTACCAGGTAAGTGAGTGTGTGTCAATAGGCAGGGTGTATATTTTCCACAGTAGTCATAGCTTTCAGCTTGCTAATTGTATGAGTGTATATAGTCCTTGAATGGGTGCTATAATACCTTATAGCACTGTCACTGCAGTGAATGCATGTTTTAATTGTTTATGGACTGAGGACCTTGAGTCTGATTAACTCCAAGTTTTCTTTATTGGTACAATGTCTGATCAGTTTTTTTTTGTCAAAACAGGAGCACTGCAAGGTTATGTCATCAATTTTGTATAATGTATAAAATAATATGCAATTAGGGTGTACATCTCAAACTCTTAACTGCTGTTTATAATGACATTATCCAGTGCAGGGTTAGCTTGATGTACATGATTTTCCATGTGTGAAAAGAAAGTTGTTGTTGCATGCACCTATTAATGTTAGGATGTACACTATGTTCACATAGAGGGGCTGGGATGGCATTGAATGTAGAAAGCAGTCCTTTCACATAGTTTGTATACATACATTTTCAAGGACATTGTTTCCCTCAGCGAGTGCAGTAACATTTGACAACTGCTTGCTACAAGGTTAAGAGGTAATCGCGGATGATTCAGGTGCTAATTGAGAGACGTCAAATTAAGATGTGTTTCTTTCAAAAGGAGTTTGGCCCGTACGGGGATCGAACCCGCGACCTTGGCGTTATTAGCACCACGCTCTAACCAACTGAGCTAACCGGCCATATATAGAATTGGAAAATCATTAGAGTTCGTTACAGTGAGAGTGGTATTGCCGTGAATTTGTGTGTGTATCGTCTGTGCCTGCAATCATGGCAAACGTGTGGTTTGGGGAAACGGGGCGGAGGCCCTTGTCTGTGGACAAATTTTGTCACAACCCTGCAACATACAGTCACGTAATTTTACAAGTGTGTAGTTGACGTCGAAATTAAGGCCAAGTTCAAAGATGAGTGTGGTCCGACCCGCGAGTAGTGAGTATATAAAGTATAGTAAGTACTAAACACATCAACATGATGACAGACTGGCGTGATCCCATCCAAAGAAAGTCTCTAGTTTGGGAGATAGTGCTGTTCCAGGTAACTTGTCTTAGATAGATAACCCCTCTATAGCCAGTATAAACACTCTCAATAAGCCAGAAACTGGAGGTGGAGGAAATAGAAAATTAAGTGATTTACTGTTCCATTAACCACTATTTCTAAAAGGGTTAAATTGTTATTTTTTTCTATAAATCTCCATTTATTTCAAACACAGGCAGGAGAATAATTGAGAGATTTATCAACAGATTGGTTGACTATAGACAGGCCTATTCATTTCAGAGGTCAGCATATAAGTGTGGCATTGTCTCTAGTAAACAACACATATGTGGTAAATTGTTTTGTTTCTGTGATAAATGTGTCAGTAGTTTAATGAGCTATGAAACGTCAAAACTCCGTGGCCCGTACGGGGATCGAACCCGCGACCTTGGCGTTATTAGCCCCACGCTCTAACCAACTGAGCTAACCGGCCCTGTTTTCCCTTGTGCCTTTACTGAACAGAAATTCCCGTTTGTGATAGAAACGACATCGTTTCATTTAAGTAATTTCACATAGATTCATACTTTATTTTCAACAGTAAATGTTTTATTAATTTTCATATGTAATTTACACACATTAGGGTATTCATCTTCTTATTCCTTCTGCTCAATTTCTTATTAAGGTCTTATTTATATTAGCAAGATGGTGTCATGTTAATAACTTGCATGAAACATAATTTATTTTAACATATAAGCAAGTATGAATAAACTTGTATAGTATCTCATTGACCAGCCAGAGGGGACACAAAAGGCTGGATGGAAACAAGTCCTGGCCCAAGTCCAATAGTTGAACATAATTTATATTTCTCTATATGCACTTTTTTGTGTGCATTTTATTGTACTGGTATGTGCAACCCAATCTTATGCACTCACTTTTTTTTCTATAATAGACTACAATGTTGAGGTGTTTACTTTGCTTGTAGGTATAGTTGGTCTAGATTATATTAGATCTGACAGGAAACACAATTACCAAAATGTAACTCTTAGATTTTTTGCTTTTCCGTGAAGTGTACTTGTGAAGCCCATTTCAGACTTAATTCTGTAGACCTATTCTGTAAGAATATTTTATCCTTTGACACTCAGATTTCTCTCTGCAGGTCCCAGAGAGGTTTATTGAAGTGTCAGAGGTGGCTCTGAGGGAGTTTTACTCAGCCATTTGGACTGGGAGAGACAGCGACCCCTGCTGGAAGAAGGGGATTTATAAAATTATCTGTAAACTTGACAGTCCTGTACCGGATGCCTTCAGACTGCCCGGTTGTCCTGTCGGCTGATGAGTGAACTGCTTTGATCTGGTACACGTATACAAATGCACAAAAGCATGCACAAAAACAAACTTACTGAAAGAAGGGAATAACATAGAAGCATCTTCGAACTGTACCATTTCAGACTTGTCAGCTTGATTCAGCTTGACACCTAGTATGAGGAAATGCATTTGGTTTCACAGTTTGATTATTCATAATTCCTTCATTTTGGGAAAAAAAAGATCATGTTTTTGCTTGACATAGTGTACAGGGACAGACACATACATGCACAAATGGACTGACACACAGGGTCAATAGTAGGCTGACACACTCATTGCGGTGATAAGAGTCTTGTGACTGCACTTATCAAAGAACGTGACCATACCATTGAATTAAAATGAACAGAACAGGAATTCCCTTTCCAAACATTCTTCACAATGCTGCGACACGGGCTTGATAAAACTGTAGCCACAGAGCTGGAATGGACAGACAGGTTTTCACAATCATGTCATGGAAATATGTATAGTCACTGGTGTGTGGTGTGTCATCATGACATGGCTCCTGTTTTTAGATGTGTTGTCCATATTTCTGAGCTGTGCACCGCCCTCACATCATTGATTCACATGAAAACATGATATGCAGTCTCTTGTAAATTACTTTGATTCGTGCAAAATATAATTTTATGCATTCATTCAGTAATGAAACAGACTGCTGACAGCTGTTACCAAACGGGGGTGCTACACAGATGCATGTTTCAAGTACCTGAGTACATAACAAGCATCTCAGATTGGTCCCATTTCCCTCCTCATCACTTTCACTATTTTTTTAAGAAAATGCAGTAATGTTTGGTGCATAATCATTGATAATCTTCACCTAAAATTTAAGTGCTCTACTGTCCCTCAGGAGTGTTGATAGTTGTACATTACAGACTGGCCAGAACATCACATATGATTGCTGTTTGCTAGAAATGAACTCCTGTTGTTGCCTTGAGTCTGGGCTTCCCTGGAGTGTCTGAACTACCCCTTTCATCTGGTGTGCCCCACAGCTTTTACATTTTAGATGCACTTATTTTTCCATGGCTGTGAGGGTGCTTCCTTTGTTTTTTTTCTCCAACAACCTGAGGCTTTTAGGTTTGCATTCATGTGAAGTTTGTTTTTGTATCCATTTGAAAATCTTTAAAGAATCAATGTTTCATAACGTACTGGTTAATTTGGATAATTGTAAGATTATAAAAAAAATGAAGTGACCCTTGTTTAATAGGACTATCAGGTCAGTGGTTTCAGCCAGTGGATTTCTTTTGCTTGTGGATCCATCTCTCTGTTTAATATGACATTATTATAAAGCTTTTGTACATGATGGCACAATGTAATCAAATTGTAATTAAAATTCTCTCAAATGGGACAATATATTGAATTTAAAATAGTTAAATTAATGTTTTGTTGTTTCCTTGATGTACTCTTATTGTTGGAATAATTACTTATGTTTTTGTATTCCTTTAATGTGATGCTTACACTAAATAGGCCGGTTGCACAATTAACATATATCGACATTTGTTTCTAAAAAGGTATTGAGAAGACTTTGACTCTATCTACTGTATATCATGACTCTTTTATCTAGAAGACACACGAATTTCTGTTCATGAAAATGTTGGTTGACTGACCCAGATAAAGGCCTCCTCTGGCTTCATCACAGCTCTGTGAAAACAAGCCCATATGTAAACTATCTGTGACGTGTTTTCAAGTGCATGTTTCCTATATTTGAATTTTGTATTGTAATCTTGTATGTTTTCTCTCATTGCTTTTATCGGTCTCTCTTTTATACTGTACATACTCTATTCTTTAATGTATATCTGTGCCTCATTCAAACTTTGGTGAATTTTGACGTTTAAACTTATCAGTGAATTAAAGTGATGCCAGGCTTGTGCTTTGTGATGTCTGGATTCACACCACATACACACATACATAAAACACACACCATGTCTGGCGTTCAGCTCCTGGTAGCCAGCACTAATGCCATCATATGTTAAGCCTTTAATCTAACAACACTACTGCAGTAACACACACACACACATACACACATTCACACTGATACTAATACTTGGATGATGGCTTTGTAAGAGGCTCAGCCCGGGACAAAGTCTAACCACCTGAGACAGCACAAACAAACACACACACACACAGTTTCTCTGGTATTCTAGCAATGTATCCAAACAACAGGAGTCTTGCAGAAAAACTTCTAACTAACTGACAAGGTAGAGTGACTGTTCTCACGCTGGACCTGGTTAAACCTAGATGTTTGCTATATAGTCTTAGCTTGGTATTTTTGTATTTAGCTTAGAATTAAATGGGCACAACAGACACATAACACACACATATTAATGCAAATGTCCCTAGTTACTAGTTTCCTTTTGGGATGTCAGGTCAGATTTCAGCCATTCAATATCAAATTTCATTGCTTTTTCTATTTATAAACTATGTCGAGATCTGTAAAGGCTCTGTGACACAAATTAAATTCTACAGCACAAGACATATAAAGGTATCAGTAAAGTATTTAAATTAAAGCCTAACTATAGCCTGTATACAGCCTACTATGTAACAAATTCTCACTGGGTTTGGTATTTGGTAGCCTACATGGAACATATATCAAAATGGCATGGTCTTATGACATAAGTCACAAGGTTTGATTAAGCACTCTGGGAATGGACTACCACTTTCATCAAACACACATACACACTCACACAGTGGCCGCCACTAATTCCAGGATGACATGCCTCTAAATCCTCAAGTAGCTCAACCTTTGACTAAGTCTGGCCACCTGATTGTCTACTGCATATTATAACTGCATTGTATACTTTTAATACTGTTATATCAATAGTTGGTACCATATGATTATCAGAAATGTGTGTAGATAAAGCCCAAGACTTTCAGTTTGCAGATGTGCTAAGGCCTTAGTTTAAAGATGATTGATCATCCCTTGCATCCATTCATCTTCCCTTCTTGCTGCTTCCCACAGCTTTCAGTTTATCTTTCTGGGCTATCCGATGAAACCAACTCCTGACCCGAGGAAATTGGACCTGTATGACAGCCAGTGTCCAAGTTAATATACCGGTCAGTGTGACAAAATAAAACGATTTTTACGCATTTATAATCGGACGTGCACATCTGGTGGAGCTCAAGAGAAGCAGTAGCTTATTGAAACTAAAACTGAACCGCAGGATCGACGCTTCGGGCAACTGGACTTTGAGTGAGAGCCGAGTCCAGCGGATAAAAAAAACAGCCAAAAGTATCGCCGGAAATCAACTGTTTTTGCCTTCAAATATTAGGCGTGCCATTTGTCACAAGAAGAGACAGGTGAGTTGATTATTTTGGGATCATAACGGTTGCATCTGGCTTTTGAAATCATGTTTTTGCAACATATGGAGAAATGATAGTCAGGAAGATTTTTTCTTGATTTATAATTTGTGGAAATTAAATTATTAGTCTGTTTGCTTTCTCCTCCAACAGCCCCCAAGGATATTCAATTAGTGGAAAACGAAAGGCTTGCTAAACCACTGTATAGTCCATTTAGCCTTACTGTGAACATTTCACTGGAGATTTTCTACGGATTTACCCAGTTGCACTTGAAATTGGTTTACCTTTTCTTTACCACGCATTCTTAAACATACGTTCATCGTATCCACCTTACTACATTTCAGTTGATTCTTCATATAGTATTTTTTTTTTATTTTGAAACACTTTACCGGAAGCTCTCCATCTTATTGTGGCTGCCTTTACGCTGGTCTCCCTGCAGACGGGCACCGGGCCGCTGGATGATGGCGTTCACGGGACTGCTGCTGCTGGAGTTGGGTCTGTACGCCAGCTGTTTCGTCTGTGGGATTGTTGCCGCCGCATCCCTCACCATCGTCCAGGTGACTTTATGTACTAAAATAATTACCTAGCTTGATATGCTATTGGTATCTCCATCCTCTTCCGGGTAGACTCACTTTTTCAGTGCGTGTGTCCGTGCTAGAAAGTTTGAAGTACACCGAATTGACAGCCAGACCTTTAATTTGGGACACTTTTAAAAGTATTTAATTCCATTTCTAATCTCTTTTATCAGTTCATTTGCACAGTGTTTCCTCAATTAAGTGTTTTAATCAGCTACTTTTCTGTGTTAAGCAGATTTTACGCTTTCGAGCATCAAAAATAATTGATTTCATACAGAAGCATATTTTTCTGGATGTTACATTTTTATCACGTATTACCAGAGCGCGAGGACTTCAAAATAGACACGAGCGTTTACTTTCCTCTGAGTTGTATCCTCAAGTAGGGGAACTACTATCACCAGCCATCACCATCAGTATCAGTACAGTATCACCAATACAGTATCATTCCGCTCCATCAGATTTAATTAGCAGCACTCATTTTACGCTATTAGCTAAAGACACTGTGGAAAACCAACATCACAGCCTTCATCTAATCAGGAAATGCGTGAGCCTGTAAAAATGCGCGCGAGCTTAGATATGGATGTGCCTGCGCACTAACAACAGTCATGTGTCCAGATACCGATACTGTTGTGACCAGATGCTCCTCGTGCCCAATTATTCTCCCTGCCTCTTTATAGAAGTCAGATGCCCTGTGTGTGTGTGTGTGTATGTGTGTGTGTGTGTGTATGTGTGTGTGTGTGTGTGTGTGTGTGTGTGTGTGTATGTGTGTGTGTGTGTGTGTGTGTGTGTGTGTGTGTGTCTGAGTGTATGTGTGCGTGTATATGTGTGTTTGTGTCTTTCCAATGGAACAAAAAGAAAGTCACTGAAACAGTTTAACAAAACTGAGACAATTAAATGAAGCAAACTAACAGAAAAGAAACAGCTGAAATTACAAAATAAAAGTCCAAAATATCTCTCTCTTTTCTTTCAGGGCAACTTTGGAGGTCTGTGTATGCTATATGGAAATGTAAACTACAATGCAACAGCAAGCCTTATAGGGATTCAGTCATCCAGCTCCTCGTCTTTGTGCTATTTTGTGTCGGCCATCTCAGTCATGGTGGCAGTGGTGTGCTTCTCGCTGTCTCTGTACTGGGTGTACACTTTCTGCATCGATGGGGACATCAGAAGGTGACTAACAGTTGTATTTGTCTTTATCGTCACGTGGAGCAGTTCCAGACATTATGTGTGTCTCTCTGATTGAATCCTTGAAGTTGTTGGTTTACTGTTCATTGTTTTAAACCGGCTGTAAACAGCGAGCACAGTTTACAGCCACCAAACCTCAGTCAAACTGCAGTGGTTTTATATGCTGCTCCTGGCTGACAAAGGTTTGACAACATGTAGCTACCAACATAGGTCTCTTCCTACTTTATAACTTTGCAAATGTAGACTGCTTGAATTTAAACAGTCAGCTGCAGTTTATCACATATCAGCATTTGAATGCTGATGTTACAAAATTGAAACAAAAACTAATAGTTTGTGTTAAGTATAAAATTTGGCATTAATCAATGTTTCCTCTCAAAACACAGATGCAATAATGTACAATACCAATACCCAAAAGAGTATTTTCCCCACTCATTTTTGCATGTTTGCAGAGAGGGTTTTAGTGCAAATGCAAGTACAAAACATATCATAGAGATATACCAGTATCTAAATCATGATACTTTATTGCTACATTAACAGGCTTATTGGTGTAAATTACATAATCCTAGAAACAATTCAAAAATGTCAGGACTACAATCAGACAAAACATCAGTAAGTGACAGTAAGATTGTTGAATTGCTGCTGATATTTCTTAAAACTGATGTGAACATGTAATTTATTATGACACAATGAAACAAGGGACACTAAAATCCAGACTAATAAAATTCTTTTAGGCGGGTTATCAGGATGGTTTCATAAAGCTTAGGTGCAGGTTTTACAGACTCAGTGACCTCATGAAGCTGGTTTAACAGCAAAGGCTACAGAGCTGGTGAGGAGAGAAAAAAAAACATGGAATGGAAATTAAAAAATGATCAAAAGAGGGCAGGGTACAGGTCACGCCATGGTAACATAGTCATATGTGACATACAGTAGTTTGACATCATTTCCTCATTTGGTCAGGGGTTGAGATAACACTTTATTCCTCTATTTCTCTTTCCCGACTTCAAACAGGCTCACCGCCGTTCTCACGCTCTCTCTGTTTATTCTGTCCTCCACAGGGAGCGTGTGTGGATGAACCTGATCGTGGCTGTGTGCGGCATCTTCCTGTTCTTCCTGCTCATCACGGGCTGCATGTTGAAGATCGGACGCGACTCACTCTGCAACTCGGTCATACACACTGTTCCGAACATTACCAGGTTCAACACACACACACACACACACACACACACGCATACACAGTGGAGCTATACACTCATGCCTGCACAGACATGTCCACAAAACCAAAACCTCTCACAAACAAATCACAAATGAAACTAAAACATTTGAAACCCACTGAGCTTTACTTTATATTTGCTTGCTCTCTTCAAACCTCTGTTTTCTCTGTCATCATCTCTTTTTCACATCCTCATTTATCCTATTAAACATACTTACACTTTGTCATTCTGTCAATAAAAGCTCCACTTTCTTTTCTCTTGGCATATGAAAGCAGATAAATGTCTTTTCATTTTGACAATCTATGTCCATCTTAGTGGATATGATGACTTTAAAGGGACTTTGAGGAGTAAAATATATCTTGTTAGCTACTTTAAAACCTCTTTGATAGGACTAGAAAGATGGATTGAAACTTAATTATCAACTTTCTAATATGCAATCTGTTTTTGTCTCTCAAGATGCGAGGAGGCCCAGACTAGAAAATGGGCCAGTCCACTTAAAGGAGGAAAGTTCTACAACAATCTACTTAAAGCTGAGGTCAGTATTTCGTTCAGTGTTTTTATTTTATGTCTAGAATCACATCCGTAAAACCAGT